TCTCCTACTATCGAATGAAGAGGCTCTAACAACCTAATCAGATTCTATCTATCTCAGGTTGCAGCAGAAATTGAGAAAAGCTGATCAGACTCAAATCAATTCATTAAACATGCGTCATTCGATTAAAATCAAACAGTAATATCATCCCAAGTCATTACAATCAAATCCCTAACACAAGGAACTAGGGTTCTTCATACCCAAGTGAGAGAAGGGTTCTACTCCATAGAGAGAGAAGAGAAAACAAGAATCGGATTAGTCATACTCATAACGATGAGGATAATCTGCTCCGGGACGATGATTTTCACTCCTATGACGATCCCCAAGCTCGATTCGATGAAATCCAGCTCCAAGACAGCTTCTAGGGTGTGTTCTTCGCACTTTCTCTCTCTAGGGCTCTGTTTTTGCTCTGAAAACACGACTCTCCCCCTTTTGGCTCGGAATAGGCTCTAAAACCAGGCTTTCCCGACTCGCACGGCCGTGCATATCACCATTCTGGCCGTGCACTCCAAAACGCAGCCGTATCATTAAGTCGAAATCAGCCATCTTGCACGGCCAGTGTGCACGGCCGTGCAGTCTTCAGGGGTTGCCCGTGCGTGGCCTCGGCACAAGGTGCACGGCCAACTTACAACCGTGCACGGCCGTGCAGCCTCCCTGGTCTGCCCGTGCAGCTCCCAAAAACCTCGCCATTCGTCCGATCTTCGTCCAATCGACCCCAGACTCGCTCCTAAGCCTTCATTCACGTACTAGGACCTGAAACATCACAAACAAGCACACCCTAGCGTGAAATCGGCCTAAAACACGAGAATCAACACCTCAAACGGTGTAAGAACGGGGGTAAAAACATGTGTAAATGACGGTCTATCATATATTAATTTAAAACCAAAATTCACTCAGCCCAAGTACCCAACCGTGGCCCACCCTAAACTGATACGTTTCCGTCTTTCCCAGTAGCCAGTAGGGATGGTAATCAAACCCATGCCTGCGGGTACCCAACCAATCCCCGTGTTGACTGGTTATGGGGTGCGTATGGGTAAAACCTGCAAAAAGTTTGGTGGGTATGGGGAGGGTATAGTTTTAGCCTCCCCCGTACCCGTACCCATACCAATTCCCATACCCGCCCCACCAAGAACATTTATTCACTCAAGATAATAACTAGTAGAAATGCAATTGAGTGTCCACCCAAATCAAAACCTAATTCCTTTCATTTAGTGTTATAAATTCTTTTTTTATGAATGATTTGTGTGTATTAATAAAATAAGGTAGCTCGCAGATTACGAGCTATTGCAGTAGTTTCACAATTGCTGCAACATAATACAAAGTACCTATCACATCAACTTGAAAGAGAATTACAACAAAGATGTAGACAAGATTTAGGTTGAGATGTGAGACATAGTAAGATGAATGATCATGGAGGATGAAAAGGGTTGGTTGATCTACTGAGCAAAAATTGATTTTGTGTCTGTACTTCCTGTCTATCTAGAGGAGTCTTGGCAAGACTCCAATTGTTACAATTGTTCACCACTTTGTGCATTACCTTGTCCCATGTACATCTCTTATCTTTGAAAGTTCCGGAGTTCCGCTCTAACTAAATGTTCCAAAAGATGGCATGAGGCAGTAATCTAACACATTGGAAATGTGTTACTCCCTAGGTGAAGCGGCTCCACTGTTGGATGTACGGGGCGTGTATTACCCATGGGTAGCCAAAACCCACAGATACGAAAATGGATTTGCAAAATCTTTCTCGCAAAGGTATGGGGTGGTACGACTTTGAATATTTGAGTCTAAACCATCTTCTTCATCCCCATTGCCATCCTTACCCAGTTCCCACATAACCCACTTCAATCCCCTTAACCCCATCCCAAGAATTTTTTTAAATAAGCCAAGAAGGCAATGATCCTTTTCCCAATTAAATTAGGGTTAACACTAATTATTAGTCAAATTTTTCTAGCATCCTTTGTTGTTAGCCAATCCTATTAAATTACTAATAATTAACCAAATGTGAACATCCATTAAGCAATTTTGTTAGTAATTTTAATTTGACAACATAATATTGACTTAGAAAAGATACATATCAACATTCCAAAACTTCAATATTTCAACTAAGAATAAGTTAGAAAATTATTAATGGTAACAAAAAAATGGCTAATATTTTGATGTATTACAAAAAATTTGGCTGATTATTAGTAATTCAATTTGGCTTGTTAGGTTAACCATTAAAATTAACTAATTATAATAATTCCGAGTCTGAAGACCATGCGCGTCATTTCCATTATATATGCCAAGTTATTTCTTGAGAAATATCACAAAGTCTTCTGACGGCAAAACAAGAGGGGAGAAGGAAAAGAGAGGAAAAAATAAAAAAAAATGAGGTATACCTTAACTTCGACCAACCAGTTCGTCCAGGCCGCCGGCGGCAACGTTTACGTCTGGGACGTCGGAGGAAATCTCAACTACCACAGTTACTTACAGGAGACGTGGAGAATCGTCGCCACCATCAAGAACAACAATCAGCCGGCGGCGAACTTTACGGAGCTAGAGATCAACGGCTCCGTCGTGAGCGGGGCCAGGTTGGCCGAGCTGGCAACCAACCTGGACGCGCTGCAGCTGTTCGTCAACCGCGAGGGCTATTCGGTTGTGTATTACAACAACGCCGGCGGCAAAGGTTTCTCGGTCAGCAGTAGTTTGACGTGGAAGGTCAACGAGGTTTATGACTGGAACCACTTGGGCGTCCCGCAGGTGATCACCTGGTCGTGGGATCGCTGCAGCATGAACGTGTCCCGCGGCGTCGTTTTGGACTATCAGGCAGAGTTCGCCAGACAGGTAATGACAATTTCGATCCTGATCCGTTTTACTCGGATCTAGTTGGCTTGTGGGATGGAGCCGCGAACATGGGATACTCTGTTCAACCTTATTTGTCATGATACACCTCGTTCTCGACATTTTCTTTTCTTTTTCTTCTTAATTTTATTCAGATTATTTACGTTTGTACTTTTATTATTTCATATTTTTGTTATAATTAAATTTTAAACAGAGGGAAGTCTCAATTTCTCGGATAATTTAACTACATTAGTCATGTTATAGTTTATTTCTCATATTTGTAATGTAATATCAATAGTTATAATGTTTTCTGTATTAACTACATATCATATGGATCGTGACCTGCCCCAATTCGTACTCCGTGACAAATTAACTGAACGGTCACGGGGCTCGTGTATGACCGTATTGGTATAGAGAATATCTTAAAGATTCCCAAATAGTTTTTTGAAATGGAACCGTTGGTACTACTTAATGGCTCCTCACTCCTGATGGTGATGGTTCGAATATCTCTTAGTTTCATTTTAAATTTCGTCGCAGATCTCTGCTTCCGTCCATGTTGGTTGTTTGACGCCATTAATGAATGTTTGAATATGATGCTGCGCAGAGCAAGCAGGAGCGGGAACAAACGAATAAAATAATTGAGGTGATGGAAGCAATTATCAAGAAGCATGAGGGAGAGGCTGCCGAGAAAAATAAGGAGATGGATGCAAAGAAGAGGAAGATCGAGGAGTTAACAGCAGTGGTCAAGAAGAAAGATGATGAGATTGCCAAAATCAAAACTCAACACGCGAAAGAGATTGCCGAGAAAATTAAGGACCTGGATGCAGCGAAGAGCAAAATAGAGGAGTTACTGGTAGTTATCGAGAAGAATGAGGGTGAGATTGTTGAGCTGAAATGTCAAAATAACGGGTCGGTGTCCTCGATATCGTTGACGGTAATCTCATCGCCGGGAGTCGACGGGTCGTCGTGTGGAATATCGACGGAGGAGATTGTGACGACAGACTCTAAAGATATCAGAATAGCTCTTGCGCTTAAGATAGGTGAGTGGTCTAAAATTTTATTTTAATTTTACAATTTTTGGGCATAATATTTGAACTCACTCGTGGTTGGAATTATTAGTAGTTTGTTATCACCAGATATGATCTCTTGGTTTTTAGTAGAGTCAAATATGAATATATGATTCTCTAAGAAAAAAGAAAAGAATATATGATGGTTGAGATTTCTTTCCTTTTCTAAATCGACTTGTATCTCGTTCGACAGAAAATGGCACACTTGACGACATTGTGGCCACACTACTGAAAGAAAAGGTGCAATTGACAAAACAGCTAGAGGATGCACGCAATGGAATAGATGCCAAGGATCAACAAATCAAACAGAAGGTCGAGGAATTGAAGGCTAAAAATGTGGAGATGATCAAGAAAGTCGCGGAAATGGAGTTAAAAAATAAGCTTATGACCGAAAGTGAAAAAGAGACGCAAATGAAACTGAAGGAGTTGATTTGTAACATGAAGGGCGAGTTAGAGAAGAAGGATAAAGAGCTCAAGGAGAAAGATAAAGTGATTGATGAGCAGGCAACAATATTGGAATGCGGCAAGAAGCTGTTAGATCAAAGGGAGAAAGCGATCAAGAAAAAGGACAGGCAAATTAAGAAGCAAAACAATAAGTTGGATGTTAAAATTGAGCAGCTAGAAAAGATTAAAGCTAAGAATGAGAAATTGAAGATTGCTCTGAGCCAGTTCATTGCCGTGGATGATGACACTGATGATGACGACGATGATGATGCAGATGATGAGGATGAATGTCGTCGAGTTTTGTAATACGGATGGCTACTACTTAATGTGTCAATCCTTACTTGAGACTTAAGAGTACTTATGCATGTGATTCACTTTGTTTTTATTTCTGATTTCACCATTTCATATCTCAATTTGGATTTCTGTTCCACTAAGAAGGGATCAACCATCTCAGTCTTTCATTCTCAATCCTCTTAAATGGAGCTCCATATGGTAATGTTGGACAACAAAAGATCGAGTTAGGGAGATCCTCTCTCACTATTTAGTTTGCGGTTGGTATGTAATATCCCTCGGCTTCGACAATTGGTCTCTCATTTCATACCTTTGCTTTAGTTTCTCCCTTCTTCGCTCTGAAACGGACTTCAGAATTTAGACAACAACCAACAGCTGGATCCGCCATTGCCACATTGCTCCGAGATCTGCTGATCACTGTTATCAGTAGAATTCTAGGGCTGGAAGCTTACCACAACTTTCTTTTCGGTTTTTCTCGACCAGAATGCAGACACCAACTAACAGCAACACATGCACCGGCAATATATACACACAGCAAAATCATTACTAGCTATCGGCAGAGGCGGTATACTCCACATTTACATTACATACATACATACATTCAGAAGCCTTTTCCCCATGGCTAGTGCTACAGCCTATACATCGCGTTCACATGTATCAGTTCGTTATAACTTATAACGACTCGCTGGCTTACCAAAACTGGACATCATCCCTTCCACTCTCTATCTACTGCTGCTGCTGTTCAAGTTTCTGGATCAAGGATTTCTGCTCTTCTTCTGACAGGGCATTGAACATGAACACTGATTTATCGCCAATGTCGTCCTACCCCCCAACCAAAACATCACAAATTTCAGAACACACAGCTGGAAGGCGACTTGAATTTTTTTTGATGGATTCATAAATAATGCACCATGAGCAGCTAGTTGTCTTACCTTAATGGGTTGAGTGAACTTCCTGCCAGCAAATATGAGGAAGAGGGCCATCCAAGAACCAAGTAGAGCTTGTTTCACCCCATCATCCATTACACCACTCTGCAATAGTTAAGTTCAACCCAATCATTCATCATAAATCCCAATGAATGCATCTTCTTTTGAAGCAGTAAGAGCCTAAGAGAGAAGATTGAAGCCTAAGCTGGGTTGGTAAAGCAAAGTACCAGATGTCCAAGTAGCAGTATGGGTATGATAAACGTGAGAATGCCAGCTTCCAGCTTCCCATAACAAAGACCTGATAACATCAATCCCTCATCTCATCATCGTTCCCTCAAAATTCTGATACAACGATCAAAGGAAATAGTGTGCAAAAGGCAAAATGGACTAGAAAATCATGTACCTTCCTTGAACACAAGGCCAGTCAAAGCAGCAAAGAGTGGACCAACTAGCCAGACAGCAGCAGGGTTATCAACAACATAGTGCACCAAGTCCAGACCAGCTGGGCGAGCTAGGCTTGTGTACGCTGCAATGGAGCCGATTACCCCGAGCGCCCAGAAGGCCTGAAGGGTGCGTTTAATTGGAGTCACATAGATGTGAATCAGAAGCAACGACACTCCCAGCCCACCAGCTCCCACGCCGTAAAGAACATCGAGGTTTTGTTCGATTGCTGAGCTCAACGGAGAAGAATCGCCCGGCAGAAACGCCGTCGATGCAGCAGCCACGAACGACGTAGCTGCCGTCACTAGTCCCGCCCTGTACAACACGACCTGAAAGTTCCCGAATTGGGCAAAAGTAAGGAAATTGAAGGACGACCCAATTAAATACAGAGGAAAGTGCGAAGTGGGGTTTGGAAAGCTTTAATTACCTCTCGGACGTCGGAGTCTTCGACTCTCCAGGGACCGTAAACGCCTCTGTAAGTCTGGGAGGTGTCGCTGACGGCCTTGCAGTTGATGAATCCTCTTCCATTTCGTGGAGTTCGGTATTTGTGATTGTGACGCGATGGAGATGAGGAGCGAGGGGCGAGTTTCGGGATGGCGTTGAGGGGGTTGGTTGTTGTGATGGAAGACGTTGGCGATAATAGGCGTAACGCCATTAATTCCCAACCACCTGCTCGGCTTCACGTCTTTTTCTTGGGGAATTCCTCTGTTGGAGTTGGGGGAAACGCAGAGAGAGAGAGAGAGAGAGAGAGAGAGAGCAGAGAATGGGAGAAGGGAGGCGGAGAAAGGGAATATCCAATGGAGCAGTAACAGGCTTTCTATATTTTTTGGAGTCGAGTGGGATATTGGGCTCATATATGGGCCGCCACTATAATTCTCGAGACTCTCGAAACAGAAGCCCGTGGGACGTGGGTAATGTCACGGAGCAAATGGTGGGCTAGGGTGAAGACAATGGTGCACGTGGTTAGGTAGGTCAGTTTTGAGCATTTTAGTGACCCAAATTCATGATGTTCTATATGGTTTGGGTCGGATTGAGTTATTTATTTATTTATTTATGGAAACCTGAATACTTATTAATCAGATTATAGTTGGTACATCATCCAACTTCAGTTGTTCCACCAAAAAATCTGGCCGGCTATCAAGCCACACAATTCTCTCATTACTGTGACTATACGTCCTGGCCATCATGTGGGCGGCTCCATTTGCTTCACGTGGGATATGTCTACATTTGTATTCTGCAGCTTGGTCCAGTCCCCTACTGATGCTTCGGCAAACCACTCCCAGCTCCGTTAAGTCACCACCTGGGTCTTTCAATTTGTTTATCACCACCATGCTATCACATTCCAATTAGGGATGGCAATGGGTCGTGTTGGGTCGGGTTTTGCCAAACCCAAACCCATGGGTTTATCTTTGAAAAAAACCCGGGGTAAAACGCACTGGGTTTGAAAAACTCAAACCCAACCCAACTCGTTGGGTATCCGCGGGTTCATGGGTACCCACGGGTTTTGTCGTAAAAAATTTACAATTAGAAGTTCTTATCAAAATTAAAGTAAAATATCAATGTCTCAATACAAATTATCCATATATAAAACACCATTTTAGAAAATTCAAGCAATAACTATACAAATTGTTCAACACCAATCTAGAAAACTCAAAAAATTTGAAGCAAATCACAAATTTTCCATAAATGACATGTTTAATTGAAAGCTTCTTCCTTTCAATTAAGTTTCTTTACTCTCCACTCCATAACATCAACTTCATTCTACACAATTAAAAAGAAAAAATTAGACATGTCTCCACAAACATAAATAAGATTAGTTGTTGAGAATATTAAATATACTGAAAAAATTAATTATATGGGTGGGCGGGTACCCACGGGCCGGGTTTGCCTAAACCCAAACCCAACCCAACCCGTTGAATAGTGAAGGGGTTTAAACCCAAACCCGGCCCAAAACCCGTCAACACGGATTTTACCCGCGTTGACCGGGTTGGGTCGGGTGGGTACCCGTGGGTTCGGATTTTGTTGCCATCCCTAATTCCAATAGTAACTGAGTAGCATGTAAGAGGGACGCCAGCTGGGCTCCCAATTCAGTTGCTAAAGCTCCTGCTAGCTCCACACTCCCGACTCCCCCAATCCGCTTTGCAGCTGCAAGTCTGAACTTCCCCGCACTGTCTCGGGCGACTACACCCAGCCCAGCCGTTCCATCTGAGAAGATGGCTGCATCTGTAGCAATAGAGGTCCAGTTTGGTTCCGGCCGCCACCAACACTTACTTTGCGGATCCGCTGCTATGGTTTCTTCTCGGTTCTGGTGGTGTTTGTAATCCGCCAGGAAGTAGCTCGCCCTAGCAACAATGACATCTTCAGGTAATTTTGTGCTATTCCAGAAGTGGGCGTTCCTCTCCTTCCATAGGAACCACAATAACACACACCAGCCTTCCACCGTAGCATCATCCTTAGCTTTCATTACCTCAGTAAGCCATTGTAAGCAACTCCCTTCTCCCTTCAGTTCAAAACAGTCGGCAAACGAAGATGACCTCCATATCCGGCTTGCCCATTCGCAATCGTAAAAGAAGTGGGAATGAGTTTCCCGTAGATTACAGAAAACACACCTGTCACCCCATCTATTGCTATGAGCTTCCACACGGTCCCCCGTCGGGAATGCTTCCCTTGCAAACCGCCATAAGAATTGGCGCACCTTTGGAGGGACCTGTAGCCTCCACATCCTTTTCCATAGTTTCACTTCCCCCACTATTTGTAAGCCTTCTCCTTTAATAAACTCCTTTAGCCATAGTTTATAACCATCTTTAACCGTGTAAAGGCCTGATGTGTTAACCCCCCCCCCCCCCAAATGAGTTCATCTCTTTCTCCGTTGCCCCGAAGCGGAATTTGGGAGATAGCCAATGCAACTTCTTGCGGAAAGCAGAACGCGAGCAGGTCCGAATTCCACTCTTCACTCGCTTCCTCAACCAGCTCGTGCACAAGTGAATCAACCGGTAGTCCCGTAGGTGGTGAAGTGATGAACTCATGTGGGAGGCTCGGAACCCACTTATCACCCCAAATCCGCACTGATAGCCCATTTCCAATCCTCCACCTTAACCCGCTACAAAGGAACTCTTGTGAAGAGAGAATACTTCTCCAAATGAAACTTGGCCGGTAGCCCAAGTGTGCGTCCAGCACTGTAGATTGCTTATGGTACTTTGCCTTAATGATTCAGGCAACAAACGACTCCGGGCGCTTATAGAGGCTCCACAGCTATTTCGCGAGCATAGCCATGTTGAAACCACCTAAATCGCGCAGTCCCATACCCCCTTCTTCCTTTGGCTGCATGAGCTCTTCCCTACTGATCCAATGAGCCCTCCTTTCCAACCCACGCTGGCCCCACTAGAAATTATTGATTAACTTATTTGCTTCCGCCAGGACCCCTTCTGGAATTCGAAACACGGACATCACATAAGTAAACTGTGCTTGTGCTACTAACTTAATCAGAACTTCCCGGGCAGCTACTGAAAGGGTGCGCTCCTTCCAGCCTTTTAATCTCTTCCTCAGGCGATCCAAAGCTTTTGTAAAGAACTATTTTTTTGACCGGCCAGCCACTGTCGCAAGCCCTAAGTATTTCTGGTGTTTGTCCACCCTCTCCATCCCCAATATCCCACTCACCATAAGCTGGTTGTGCATCTTCACATTTTCACTAAAGGACACCGAGGATTTGGGGAAACTTATCATTTGGCCAGATTCGATCTCCTAGTCTCGCAAGATTTTTTTTAGTTCGTGGCTCTCCTTCTATGTTGCCCTTGTGAAAAAAATACTGTCATCTGCAAAAAAGAGGTGAGACACTATCGAAGCTCCGCGAGCTGCCTGGAAACCATGGATCCTCTTCTCTTGTACTGCAAGCGAAGTGTAGGAGGAAAGACCCTTTGCGCACAACAAAAACAAATATGGTGAAAGAGGGTCGCCTTGTCTTAAACCCCGACTCGGGACGAATCTCGGAGACTGGTGGCCATTCACCATAATTGAATATGAGACAGAGCTCACACACTTCATAATCAAACCAATCCACTGCTCAGAGAAACCCATACGTCTCATCACCCCTTCCAGAAAGTGCCACTCCACTCTGTCATATGCTTTTGCCATATCAATCTTAGCCGCCAGAAAGCCCACCTTACTCTTCGTCTTCCTATTCATTGAATGAAAGCACTCAAAGGCAGCTATAATATTATCTGTAATCAATCGTCCTGGAACAAAGGCGCTCTGCTCCGGCGAAATGACCTTATCCAGAACAGTTTTCATACGATTGGCTAAAACCTTAGACACCAACTTATATAAGACATTGCACAGACTAATTGGCCGGAATTCCTTAGGAGAAATAAATTCTTTCACCTTCGGAATAAGCGCAATCAGCGTGTGGTTCAGGTCTTGCGGGAGTTCTCCACCATCTACAATATCACAAACCATTTGCCATACATCGGTGCCGATTATGTGCCAGTATTTATGGAAGAAAAGTGCCGAAAACCCATATGCTCCTGGGGCTTTACGAGTCCCCATTTGTTTGAGAGCCATAAAGACCTCCTCCCTTGTAGTCTCCCTCACCAAGTCCTTGTTCTCCGCTTCTGTAACACTTGCCTTGATCGAGTCCAAAACAGGGGTTTGAGTCGGGATGGTACCTGCAGTGAATAGAGAGCTATAATAGTTAGTCAGCAACTCGAAGAGGCGTTCCTGTCCCACGTACCAAGCTCCCGCCTCATCCTTCAACTTCTTAATAGAATTTCTTCTTCTTCGAGCTGAGGCTTTACGATGGAAAAAATTTGTGTTACGGTCTCCTCCCTTAAGCCAGTCAGCCCTCGATCGTTGTTTCCAATATGCTTCTTCATTCTCCTCCAGTTCGCCGAGTTCAGATTCGAGTTTTCTCATTGGCTCTAGCACTTGGTCCGACTTCTCTCTTCTTTCGAGTGCTCTCATGGCCCGTCGTATCCTTTCCTTTTGCTTGGCGAACTCGGGAAAGTACGACGACTACATTCATCAAGACGGCTCATGCACTCAGTCAGCTTAGCCATCGGGCTATCATGCGTCCCAACACTCCAACCTTCGCCAATAATTTTAGCACAATCATCGTGCCTAACCCACATTGGTTCAAAGCGAAAGGACCACCCCCATCTAGGTTCCTCATCTTCCTCGCCCAAAGTATTGCAAACAATGGGTCTATGATCGGAACGTCTCTTATCAAGGTTCGTGACCGTGCTAGTTGGAAAAATTACTCTCCAACTGTCCGTCGCCACGTACCGGTCAAGTCTTTCCTCTATATACCCTCCTGCCCTCCGCGTGTTTTACCACGTGAATCTATATCCATGGTACCCCAGATCGGTAAGGCCCGTGTCCAAAAGACAGTCGGCAAACTCTGTAATGCCTTGGTTTTCAGCTTCATGACCCCCACTCTTCTCCAAGCTCGAAATAACTTGGTTGAAGTCACTGCCGCATAACCAACTTCCTTCCCATTGTGCCGCCAGTCGACGGATTAAATCCCAAGTTTGGACTTTCTCAGAGCTGACTGACCAACCATAGATTCCAGAGAATCGCCATACGCCAACTTTAGGATCCTTTATTCTAGCATCAATATGATGATAAGAAGCCGACATAGGTGTCAATGATACCTCATCTGACCACCATAAGCTAAGCCCTCCTGCCTTCCCACCACGAGATTGATCTGTCGGCCAGACTTCACCATTACCGAATCTGATTTCCTTTCGTAACTCTTCATTTTCCTCTTTGGTTTGCTTCGTCTCCATAAGAAAGACAAGTTGCAGGGAAACATGTCACAATAGCGACTTTAATGACTTAACTGCTCGTGTATTCGCTAGACCACGACAGTTATAGCTGAGAATGTGCATTAATTCCCAGAAGGGGATAGGTTCCCCGCACCATTCAGCTTCAGTCCCAAATTCACCTTAATAGCGTCCGTCTTTTCCTTCGTCATTTGGGCCACCCTTGTACCATCCTGTACGAACTTTTTGGTTTGCTTCTCCAAACCTTGGTGATGTTTTGTTCCCTCACTATAGCCACCTTTAGTTGCTGAGACATCCTTTAACTTGCTCCCTTCCTTCTGTCCCTTCTTGAAACCATTTACATCTTCTATGCCCTTCTCTTTATGCTTCGAAATCATATTCAGTTCTGGGGCTTGTGCATCATTATCCACTTTGCTGGTTGCGGGGGGTGCCTCATATCCTTTGATACTTCCACGTTCTCTTCTTCCTGCAGCCCTTCGAATTTGTTCTTATGGCCTTTGTTTCCTTTCCCTACCTCTTTATTGATTTGTTCCATTCTCATCGGGTATGAGTTCCTCATTGGGCGGCGATCCCTCTTGGGCACTATCATCCACTCCCCATAAATTTGCCCTTTGGTCCGAGTTTCCACCTGGGTTTCAGGAACCTTTTCAGGAGTTGGAGGGGAATCTTCTTGTTGCATCACCTTACAACTACACGTTTGTGTGGGCTTCCCATATTTCCCACAGTCGGTGCACAAGTTTTCCAACCCCTCGTACTGAATTAGGTACTCCTCGCCTTCAATTTTGTATTGCGACAGGAGAGGTTTTGTCAAGTCCACCTCCACGCACACTCTTGCATACTTTCCTCTCTCCCCGAACTCATTACCTCTATCAAATCGGATCGGCCTACCCATGAATGTTGCTATCTTCATGACCGCTTCTTTGTTGATGAACTCAATAGGGAGATCCGGGAGTTGTGCCCACACCATCGCTGACGTAACCTCCAACCTCCACGGGTTGAAACCTCTATATCAGCGTGTCACCGTCAGGTAGGTGTCTCCGAGCAGCCATGGCCCCCCGTTAATAGTCGTTTCATAGTCCTCCTGATGCCGAAATCTCACCAAGAAGCAGTCGTTCTTCATATCAGAAATTTGCAAGGTCCCATGCTTACCCCATAAACTATTAAGCCGTCGTGCCAGGGGGATGAAAGGAACCCTACGTCCAAGACCCTTAACCACAAGTGCTGACCGCCACTCCTGTCGCCAACGTATCTTCTCTGATGTCGTAAAAGGTATCGTAGGGCACTTTGGGTCCTGTTCTTGATCATCACAAACATCATCCTCCTCTTTCTCCACTTGCAGCGAATCTTCAGTATCTGAATCAGCAACATACCACATATCCCTTTGAATAACTTCGCTGAACAGCTTTCGTCTGTTTTCTCCACCCCATGCCGAGGCTTGGGGGCTCCTATGGAGGATGTTTGTCTCTTCAGTTTCCATCTCAGTCGAATGCTGGGAATCCTCCAGCCCTACCCTTCCTGATCAAGATTGATAGCACGTGGTCGCTTTTTTTCCTGGGTAGATTCCTTCGCATTCTTATTGTTCGGTGAGGAGCTGTCCTCCGCATGCCGCCTGATGCCACTCAAGTTATTCGGTGGCTTGTTCCCTTCAGCAGGCGGTTTGGACGGCTTCGCCGTTGCCATGTAGGTGCCGCGATGCCCGTCAAACGAAAAAACCTTTCTGTTGCCTTCTGCTCCGAAAAGTTCGTGCTAGGGTTTCTCAGGATCCTAATGTTTCAGATGGGTTATTCACCTCACATTCACAAAATCACTATGGTGTGATATTTAAAAAAAATATATACAAGGATTTAGTAGATAAAATATCATAATCTAGAGATACTCAATATAATATGTTGTTTGCATTATTATTACTGATGTTTCTTTGGCCCTTTGTGCAATTTATATTTTCTTTCAATAATATTTGAGGATTTGAAAAATATATTAATAGACATGTGTAGTATTACTATATATATGTGAAAATTTGTGTTAATGGAAAACATTTGAATCATGTTAATGTTTGTATTTTTCGGAACACTCACTCGTAACGCGAAATGACCTAAAATTCAACTATGATATTTTGGTTGGGTCCGTACTTGACCCAAAATCAACCAATCTGATATGACCCGACCCACTACGACCGCGTAACCTGAGATCACACAAGCCAACATAATGGCCTAGTCTATGATCACTTGAAGTTGGAACGAGGCTCATTCCAAGAAACAACACATTTCTAGTTCTATGAAAAGTAAAACGGTAACGAGTCGTATTTATTAACATAAAACTTATGAGCATTTGGAAGGTAAACTTAATTAATATACTTTCATCTTAAGTATGATGTTATGTTTGGAAAGTAATTGATGGCGATATGAAATAGTAGTTAATGTGGGAGAAGATATTGCAACGATGTGACAACATATATAAATACTCTATACGCTTAGAGACAACCTACGGAAAAGCGAAGAGTAGAATTAGTAGTACTACGGACTAGTAAGTAATGGATACTACTATTAGTCAGTCCATCACCATATTCCTAATCACTTTCTTAGTCTTGCTTCCCCAAAACTCAGCCAAATTCTGGTGGGAAGTTCATTATGTCCACATATAAAACCACCTAAGTGACCCCTCAGGCCAGTTACTAGTGCACTGCAAATCAAAGGAGGACGATCTTGGACTTCATTATATTGCAGTAAACGACGAATTTCAATGGCACTTTCGTAACGAAGTTTTCAAGCAGACTCTGTTTTGGTGTCGTTTGCAGCCATCCCACAACATTAGAGCGGCTGCTTTTGAAGCTTACGTAAACAACGAAGATCAAACTCCTAAGGAATATGGATACCATAATTACTGGATTGGTAAAGACGATGGAGTCTATTCCAAAAGGATGAATCACAATAATAATCAATGGGAAGAAAAACTGCAGTTTCGTTGGGAATAGAAAACATGAATTAGTTCAGAAACCTTAGTGCACGACAAGAAGATCAATGACATACAACAATATAGTTGTATTTTTTTGAATCGATAGAATAATTACGCTTTATACATTTAATAAATTTTCACTTTGTTCGTCGATCGAATTGCTTCTCGTCCACCAGTTCATAGAAACAATCGAATAAATTATTTATATCCTATAACTCGCTACACATCAACGACAAGTTTAAGGATTAAATGAATAGCATTAGGGGATTGAGTTGTTTCTGATTTAACAACTCGACTAGGCTTGAAAAATGACACGACTTAACCCACATTTTTAAAGATCAAATCCAACTTTTTAGTGAGGGCAACATAGTTTTAATTTTTATTCTTATATATTATTTAAGAGATTCAAACATATGATCTCTAAATTGAAGACCAACAATAAAATCGCTTGATTAAACCTTTGTTCACATGAATTATACTTTTAACCAGGCTACATTTCAATTTCATCCAGTTTAACGGGGCTAAATTTTATTTTCTTCCAACTTTGACGAATGTAATATTCACAAGGAATTCGATTGCTCTAAAGTTCAAATTTGTTCCCATGAAAAATACTTTTGTTCACTAAATTTGGTTGTGACAAAAAAAAATTACGCCACAAAAAAACCATATAACAATCTAAGAACTGCAAATTTATCTTCCCTATATCACATTGATGCTAGTGATTTGGTAACGAAGATCGAGATTATCATGCCAACCAACATAAATTCATGACGGTGTTATCCTGTGGAAATTATGAGGGAATGAGTCCATTGTTTAGCAACATAGGTGAACTCGTGTGGATATATATTGGGTATTTTTGCTGCTTTTTTGGTGTCTATGCTGTTGTTTTTCGTCTCTTCCATCTGTCATTGGTTTAGTTGTACTTCTCTCAGTAGTATTATATATTGTGTAATCCCTTAAGTAATGAAGGGGTCGTTTGGAAGTTGCGATTGTTAAATAGATGTATTGTTGAGAATGCATGTATAATATTATACATGTATTGTCGAATTTGATGAATTGTAGAATACAATGTTTGGTATGTGTGATTGTGTATGTCGCATCAGCTAAAAGCTGACACAAAACAATCTCAATTCAACTATCTCAACAATCACAACTAAAAGTTGAGATATAACAATCACTCAAAATGAGTGATAGTTTCTGTCACATCACAGAAACAATCCATGTATTGTTTCTGCTAAAAAAACAAAAAAACGATGCATTGTAAACAATACATGCATAATGACAATCTCAACAAAACTATCGCAACTTCCAAACGACCCCGAAACTCTCGCATCCTTATTAAAAGAATGTGATTTATAAGAGTGTTTAGTGTTTTGTTAGTAAGGGTTGTAATAGTAGACCCACATAGTTACGTTGGATGATAATACCCACAGAGCTTAAAGTTTATATTCATATTCACACGCAATAAAGAAAAGAATGACTTGTTACAAGCATCTATTTTTATAATCAAAGAGGAAAATATGGTTAGTATCAAAACGATCCTTTACAAGTGATTGATTTCGTGGATTGTTTGTGTAGGGCGGTCGCTGTCTGAAGGTTTAGTGGAGCACATTTCACATGTACAACTAGTAGATGGATTATCCACTGGAATGTGAGTGAAACGAGAACTACTCAGTAAATGGAAAAAGAGCCCACATCAAAATAGAAAATGGGTGTGAAATCTTCTAATTTTTCCCATCTTCATTTTATAAAAAGGACAAATAAACTATATGCAGATTTATTGTTCTTTTTCAATGTTTGTTTCTCTTTTTCAACTTCATTTTTAGCTGGGGTTTTATGAGTTTTGGTTGTTGGTTGAGTTCGATTTTGATGAATTTGACCATGTGAATTATTTTAATATTGATTTGGATGATGTGACAATTTTAAATGTAAAGTTGAAAGATGGTGAAGGGATTGTTATGTGATTTAGAATTTACAACGAACGGAAGAGAAGCTAAACAATGCACGATCCTTCTACAATAAAAAGAAAAAAAAAATAGTTGTCTTCTATGGGTAATACTTGGCGCAACCCAGGTAGCAGCTCGCTCCTGCCAAAGCAGTTAAAATCGGGATTTTACCTAAAATCGAAAACTGGGGTAAAATCGGAATCGTAAAATCGAATCGTAGAATCGTAGGATTTTAAGTACCATATAGAAATTAAAATATAATAAGGTAAATAATTAATAACACAAAGACTTATAACATTTAAAGTGATAATTTTCAAGATTAATATTCCAAAACCATCATTTTAATTGTTATTTAATACGTAACTCAAAATAATTTATGAGGAAGGGATAGAGCTCATGGGGTTTGGCTCTTGTTTTTCATGTTGTGCCTAGGTAGTTTAACTAAAAGTAGTATTCCATCATCGTCTACTAAGCATGATTTAAAACTAAGAATAACTAAATCCAATAAAATAAGTAATGTCATTGGTTTGGTACAAATATATTCATTAATCAAATAATTTGTTATTAATGATGTTAATTCTTACGCTCTTACAATATTCTGACAATTGTGTTACCGATGAGTTACAAGAAGAAGGGAACGGGGTTGACCGAACCCTAATTAGTTTTTTCTTCTTTTTTTTCGTTGAATATTTTTTTTCAAATGTTTTTTTAATAGGAAAAATATATGAGAAGATCACCATCATTGCCCTTTCCACCGAAACAGTTCTACTTCTTTTGAATTGGCTCAAGCTTCCTATTTGTTCACATAGGATCAAAATCCCGATTTTGGTACGATTTTATGATTTTAATCCCGATTTTGAACGATTTTAAGGTCCACCAATTTTATAGTAAAATCATGATCGGAATCCCTAAGTAAAATCCTACGATTTTACGATCAAAATCCCGATTTTGACTACATTGGCTCCAGCTACCCCTCCACATGTTAAAGTTAAGCAGGAATTTCCATCTCCAGGGAACAAGAAAATTACAATATCCCATTGAATGTACAAATGATCTATCATTAGGATAGGACAGTTTGAAAGAGCACGGATCTAGGTGTGCGATTTAGGGGTTTACGATTGATATGGGAATTGAGGATTTAGATGAGATAGAACTGGAATTAGGGTTGAGAAGAAGAAGAGAGGTCGGATCCCGGGAAGGATGGCCGACGGCTAGAGGAGAATGAACAGGGTTCGGCTAGGGTGAGAGAGAGATAGATAGCTCAGGGAATAATTCTTGTGTTATTGCTTAACCGTAACTTACTCCTAACACAAAAAATATATAATCCGACTAATTCCCTATAACTACCCAAATACTTAACCTAACCGAATAAACCCCAATAGTTCCCGAAATATCCAACATAACATCAAACGTCCCGAATAACGAATAATAACAAATAAACCCCAGAAGAACGTATATATGATATTCTATCCCCCTTGAAACCCACCTTGCCCTCAAGGTGGACCTTCTTTCTTCTCGTCCCTCTTCTCACCCACCTCACTCGCCTCCATTTCCTCGCCCTCATCTTCCCAGTTCCTGATCAGTAGCATCAGGTGCCCCTCGGCGCACTGGTGTCCCACCGTATACCTCTCATCGCACTTGAAACAGAACCCGTCCCTACGCTTCTGGTCCATCTCCGCCTGATTCAGCCTGATGAACCCCTTCGGTGGTAGTCTCGACGGGAACCGACCTCCTGGAGAAGCTCTTGCGGCCATCGGGCTTGCAGTTTCCGGCGATGGTGTAGGGGCTGCGGCGCCTTGCCCTGCGCCGCCACTGGCTTTCTGGAAACGCTCGGTCGAAGATCTCCAACTAGCCAGCTCCTCCGCCTTGCGACCTACAAGTCTAAAAGCAACTCTAAGAGAATCAGTTTTAAAAAAACCTTAACTGTCGTTGCCAGCTCGGGACGCAGTCCTGCCATGCACAGGCCCACCAAAATCTCTTCTGTCATCTCCTTGCACTAGTTTCCAAGATTGAGGAACTCCGCGCGATACTCGCCCACTGATTCGATCTGCTTGAGCTTGGCTAGCTATTCCAGAGCTCAACCTTCTGCCTTGCCAACTGATATCGCAGCTCGTCCTAGAACCTAGCCCAAGAGATGGCCTCCCCTGCCACAACATAGGCTCTCTCGGTCCACTCCCACCACTGTAGGGCATCCCCCTCTAAGTAGAAGGACGCCAGATGCGCCTTCCTCTCATCCCTCATCAGGTGGTTCTTGAACCACCTCTCTGCTGCATAAAGCCATAGTCCCACATCCCCCAAACCATTGAACTTGGGAAACTCTATAAACGATGGTTTAGCTCTAAATGCCAGTTCATCATCACAATCGTATAGAGGGTTCCTATATCCATACCTGCCGGAATTCGGTGGAGGCTGTCGAAGCCCCGATCCGTTATGGTGGTAGTCCGACTCGATCCGCTGTTGATGAGAGTGAGGTCAGTCGACCGCCACCTCCTAATCGTCGTCTCCATCCTCCAGCTTGGTACCAGATCCCTGTCCCACATCCCGACCTACGTGACCTCGTCCCCCATCTGCTCGAGGAGTACCCCATGGAGGATACCCAGACTCTGGACCCCTCTGGACGGTCCCGACTCCTCTGCCCGTTGCGCCCCAGCTGCTGCCCGCCAGGTGTCGACCCGATCCAGTTTGGTTCGGTCCATTTCGACTGATTCCGGTTATACCGATCATAGACCCAGTGGGTGGCCCAGTTCGACCCGCTTTGGGATCCGCAACCCAGTCTTGTCCAGCCCCGTCGGGCCTTGGGTCCACCCACCACTCTTCTTGGCCCGCGAAGCTCAACTCGTCACCTCCACCGGGCCTAGTCGACCACGACTCTCCTTCGTACCCCGCCATCTTCTTCTTCCCACATGTCTCGTCGAGCAAGCCCATTCCGCTAAACACCGGCTCTAGCGCGCCAGTCGCGCCCTTGCCTCCCTCCTCGGCGAAGTGGACCATCGACCCGGTCGAGCTTTTCGGAGCCCCGCTGCTACCGGCCGAAGCTCCAGCATCTAGTCCCGCGGTCATCTCCTTTGTCGCC